CGTGGGGGCGTTGTAATGTGACGGTCAATCCAACTATTCGTTGGTAAAAGAGTAATCCATGAGTTGGCGGTGGGTGGTGATGACTAGCAGCCTTCCCTCTAGTCTTGCATTGCTAAATTAGGGACGGCTAGCACAGATAGCCCTCGTGTAGCTTTGCGCGAAATTCAAACAAGCAAACAAACTAACATGTGTGCTTTTTTGTGCATTTTTACATGGGTACAGCCGTAGCAGTCGATAATAAAGGTCTTAAAGTGTTGTTTGAACTGAATTTTTATTATTTAAGGTGCTTTTTGCCCGGAAGTTCTATTATGGCTTTGTGCAACTCCTGTTATGAATCACTATCGTGGTGCATGATCAGTGAACTTATATATCAATTCAATACTGAGTGATGGCTTCTTACAAATCTGTCAGTTGTTAATACTGTTACGCCTCTGTGTTCGTTGGTTAATTTTCCGTAGAAGTTCTTTCTGAAAAACTCCAGCGATACAAGTCCTTTCTTAAAAAAATAGTTTATTCTTTCTCAATACAACTTTGCAATACACTTAATTTCCACAGTCACTTTAACTTGAACACACCCAAGAATTCCCAACGATTCACGCACTTTGCTTACGGCTTGACTCGATTATCTGTCTCTATATCTCTCTGTCTGCAATTATCTCTCCGCCGTCACTTTATTTGCCAGCTTATATACGAGAACTTAGCTCGCCTATAAAAGCCTAGAGTTGCGAGGAACAGTCACGATCTTTCTAGAACTCCAGCACATGCTCCAAGCGTCGCGCAACTTCCGCTGTCGTAACAATACTAAAATTTAATTGTTTAAGAAATGGAGCAAGACATATCCCAATTTTTGTGAAAAGTGCAAGGCACATAACGAATTTTTTACATTTTTCTCAAAACATTTTGTAAACAATTCTTGTTTAATCTATTTTAATTGAAAACTACATGTTTTACTCCGTCACGTTTTGGACTACACACAACTTAAATATGTAAACAAAAACGACAAAGGACTGGCACAAAAAAATGCATTGTTTCATCTGGATATATCACGACATACACAGAAAAAAATAATAAATGCAAATTTGAAAAGAAAAATAATTTGATTAGTTAGTAAAGCAAATTGCAGGCAGCATAGCAGGATTATAGTTTCCAATTTTTCTGCATTGACATCTTTTTCCACACCATTTTTGCCATTTACACAACATTACTTGCAAAGTTTCAGATGGATCACAATATAACAGAGGTGTTGCTCCAGTAGATGCTAATTCCCATCTGAAATCTTTTAAGAGTGGTACGATAAGCAAAGCTTTATCAATTCTTAGCCAGAGGATTGCCTGGAACAGTATTTTTTCACATGCTTTTCAAATGCTCTGTTGGTCAGTAGAAGCTTTATATGATCCTTAAAATGAATATTCTGGTATAGACATGAAAAATTAAGGTATTGAAGTTGTCAGTGGTTTTACATTAATATAGAGAGTCAGCAGCCAAAATGCTTTCACACTCATTATTATGAAGTCATTCATTGCATCTGCCATATACCTTGCAAACTCGTATGTACTTGCTACTTATAAGAACTTTAGCTTCCCAGTGCTGTAAAATAAGATAGCAGTAGTGTTTTAATACATATAAAAAGGCAACATTTTCATTTGATGCAAGGATAAATTCCTTGATAAGTCATATATGGGTACTGCATTGTCTCTGAACTGAATCCACATATCATTCAATCCTAGTTCCTTTAAATTCAGAAAGACGTAGAGTGACTACATCTAAGTAGTTTGCTTATATAATAATATGTTTGGTACTTTAAGGTACTGTGACATAAACCATGAAAAAACTATAGAATGACCCTTTTCAAGGCAGAAGAAAGTTCATCGCATAAAATTGACGAATCATGTGTAATCCTCAAAGTTTTCCACCTGTCTTTGCATCTGCCAGACAGGAAAATGACTAACCCTTCAGGTACAAAGTTATTCATACTCTTCCAGATTTCAAAACTTGCTTATATCAATGCACTCTTAACATCAGAGTTTGTGAAGATATAATACCAGAGATCTTCACAAAACTATCTGAAATAAAGTTGTGAAATAATGAACCCTCCTTGAGACCGGCGGCATTTCCTTCTTTACCCAGATGCTTCCATATACCATTATAGCAGATAGAAATGTATTGCAGTAGGAATCTAATCATAAATGCAAGGGCTCTTCTAACCAGCAAATGGACTGACTTTTTAGGACTTGGGATAAACATTCGTACTATATTCATCACATCTACGATAACTAAATATTTATATTCAAATACTTCTGCAACTGTTTCATCAGCTAGAGAAGAAACAGTTGGTGGGCATTCAGACATTTTGGTCTAACATAATAAATACCACATATCAGTTTTTGCCCCTCAGACATTTTCGTCTAGCATAATAAGTACCACATAGCAGTTGCTTTGTCGCCACTTGAAAAGAGACGTTTTTCAGTTAATAATGAAGGACATAACATGACTTCAGTTGTAAGTACGTTTTTGAGAGATATAGTATTTAACAATGTTTCCATATCCATAGGGAGATTAATGCTCTCTTATGCATGTTCAGTTCTTGTGACTGAACTTCTTTAGCTACTAAGATATCAGTTTTTTGTTTTGTCACCTACTGAGTTCAAATGTTATTGATTTGACTTCTGGCACAAAACCTCGAGCGAACTATATACTATGCCATCTGAAGTAGGCTCATTGGTAACTATGTTCACAAGTTCAGTTGTGAATGAAGTTAATCTCCATTAAATGATTTGCATGAGGTTTGTCCTTGACCTCACATGGTGCTTCTTAGTTGCAACATTATCTTTATGATGGTCTTGCAATGTATGATAAATATGAACCCCAAGGACATCACAATCAAGGTGGTGAATAAAGTAGTAACAAATCCATTAATTTTTTTCATTAGGCTTCATTATAATACCTATATTTCTGCTTGTCCTTCACGACCTTCCACATCTAGGTTATTAAATCTTAACGCAAATGGCTCCAATTTGCAAACTAATTCTTAAAAGTTTTTCTACTTTGTCATGAAGTATATGTGCATCTACTGAGTTACATAGTAAAAAGCCCTTTTGTCTCCCTTACTACAGATAGGTCAAAGTGCACACGTCACAATCTCTTAGAGAGTTACATTCAAAATTTAATTAAACTACTTTACTATTAATTTATACGAATAAACTTGGCATTGAAACGTAGTTAATAGATTGGATTTTAATATTATATAAGTTTTAAGTAGTTAATTTTGTGAATAAATGTTTTTTAAAACATTCTTCCTTTGTTTGATCATTGTGATATTTGTTCTCCAGGTTTTCTCCCTTTATTTACTACTCCTCTCTATCACATCCTGGCCCAGCATGGCCAGGTGGTTAGGGCGCTCGACTCGCAATCTGTGGGTTCGAATCCCCGTCCCACCAAACATGCTCGCCCTTTCAGCCGTGGGGGCGTTATAATGTGATGGTCAATCCCATTATTCGTTGGTAAAAGAGAAGCCCAAGAGTTGGCGGTGGGTGGTGTTGACTAGCTGCCTTCCCTCTACTCTTATATTGCTAATTTAGGGATGGCTAGCGCTGATACTCCTC